GGGGGGGCGGGGGGGTCCAGTTAGCACTGCTATTTGCAGGCAACCTTGAGCAGTTTCACTCGTCAGGCATGGTTGGTGGCCCTGGACACAGTCATTTGGGTGATGAAAACCGAAGGAGTGCTAAGCAGCTGACGAGGACAAGGGATGTCAGCCATAAACGAAAACACTTCCCATGCAGCTTTGAATGGTAATATCCTGAACTTCACAAAGCTGTGGAGTGTTGAAAGTGGTTCACTGCACGCAAACACTCTGACAAATGTAATTGACCAACATCCTACCATATCCCGAAGCTTGTTCTTCATTTTCTTCTTCTTCAGCTTGAAAGATGCATCTGTTTCGACCCTTGATTCTCTAATCCCATCCAATGATGCCATCTTCAATGACTTGAAGCGGACCTGCAGAATCCACCGAAACATGAAAGTTAAGAAGGGAACATGGAAACCACCGGCCAACAGGCAGACTCCAATTTATGCAGCCTATTGTTGCCCCCTTCAATGATCTCTGACAGACCACTTTGGTCAAAATACGAAAGGTTACCTGTGCGGGAGCATAGCACCAACCTCTACCTGTGCGGGATGATAGCACCAACCTCTACCCGTGCGGGATGATGGCACCCCCTAAATCATGAATGTATGCGAGCCATCTTTCCCACTCTATACACACATAACACACATACCAAACACACACCGACATCAAATCTCTCACACACACACACACACACACACACACAATCTTTCCAGCCGCTGGTGTGGGACACCCCTCCCTCCTCCCCCCAACAACCCTTTCAATATCTTGACCACATGGTGCACCCTATGATCGAGATCCATAGAATGTGAAATGACTCCCAGGAACCAACAGGACATCACATCTCAAGAAGCCTCTTTGCGCCCTCACCTCTTGGCAAAGAAATTGTATTCTTGAAGAATGATCAGGAAAATGAAGCGTTCAAGAAAACAAAGAAGAAACCGAAGCAATCATTTCGTCATCGTCATCGTCACCATCTAAAGACGAAAGAAGACTAAGGGTTAAGGAGCGCTTTCATGATGTCAGTAACATTGGTGAGGCCGTTTCCGAACCACATAAGAATTCTCACACCGCAATGCTCTGCAATGGAGCACGCAGGAACACTTCGAAATGGAGTATGCGGCAAATGTGGAACTCCGAAAGAGCCCCGCAGCAGCAACACACCTTCTTGGATTTTACAGAGAGCTTCTGGTGCGAACCAGCTTCAGCCTCCTGCTTTCCTCCAGCAGAATCATCTGCAGCATAGTCATCCCTTCCCCTGGGCCTGAAAGACAAAAAACAACAAAAGGAAGTCATCAGCAACACAGAGAACCACAGGGGCACTATGTTGCAGGTAAGCCTAAATAGTAAATACTAAATAGTACATTTCGCAAGGAAAACGAGCAATAGCGAAATGACTGAATCCAAATTGCAACATCACATTGAAAGCCAGATAGTCGTGAGCTGTCCAGAAAGTAGAAATGCACTGATATCACACCAAGGAGAAGCAGAGCAGCGAACTCAATTGTCAATGAAAGCATTCTCTCCCCACCACCGACAATGTATTCAGAGCTCTTCCTCCTGATCAGCGCTCAGCGCCTAGACTACGAACATGCAGCTCCTACCCTAGCCTACAACAGTGACGAAGCAGCCAGTTGATGTCAGCAGCAGCAACCAAAGTACATGCAGATGTCGACCATGCGTATACCTCCGCCAGGACCAGGTCTGTGCTCTCACATCTCCTCCCTCATTCGCCCTCTTATTGCCCACCCTCGTCTTCTCCCCCACATCTGTCTGCCTTCACACACACCATAGGACCAACACAAAAACCTGCTGGCTTCTTCTTCCCACAGCCCGGCTATGGCTGGGTATTGGCACTGCCGTGAGCAGCGCCCGACTCTCACCCTGCACCCGCGTGCACCCAGGCTTGCTTGCCTGCGACCTACGAGCGCTCGTTATGTCAGCGCTGCCGCATGTTCACCAAGTGCTCAAATGCCCTCCTCACGGCCAGGCACTTTGCTAGATGCAAAGTGGCCTGGCCCGAAGGCTGATTGGGCTGGCGTCCTCATGTGCCCAGTAGCTTCAGGTTGGGCGAAAGTCTCTGCGCCCAGGCCAGTTCAGACAGTGGCCTGGGCCCACAGCAGCTAGGTGCGCCCAGCCAACCATCCGCGGACCCTGAGGTGTTCCCTGCCTTCCGATCGGCAGAGAGGCCTGCTTCCACGTCGAAGCAAGTAGAGCGTAGAAGGCTCACGGAACATTCTGATGCTCGCGAGCAGGGCTCGCGTAACCAACTGGCGCATGGCAACTGTCTGGCGCTCACCACGGCCTGCCAATTTGCAATATTCAGGCCCTGTTGAAAAAAGGAGGCCTGCCTTCACTTAGGGCAGGCAAAAAGCTTATTGCTGGTGCCCCATACAGGCATGCCGAGGACTCAGATCCTCACAGTTTAATGGCTCAAAAAGAAAACGACAAAAGAAGAAAAACCTAAACAAAATCATGATAGATCAACTAGCTTATCTGCTGTGAGTGGGGCACCCGCATAGCCACATTCAAGCCGGTCACCCGGCTGGGCCCGGAGCTGCCCCAGTGCATTTCCGCACAGGTTACCAGACCGTTCGCGTGTGGGTGGCCACAGGGAGATCCTCCTGTTGCTGTGAACAAGGATCGTTTTCGACTTCTGGTGGCATAATGGTCCCTCTTTTCTTTTCTGAAAATTTTTACGCTGCCCATTAGTAGTCCTGCACAGAGGCTCTGGCGGTTGCAATGAACGAACTCGAGTTCAACTCCAATTGCACTCATGCATGTCACTGATGCTCACACCAAACCACTCAACATCAAAGAAACGAGATGGATTTCAGCTGAAAGCCCCAAATTAATATTTCCCAAACACATATTATTGAAGTTCCAGGTACAGAATACATGCGGCTATGGCGGACGGCTTCTCACTCAAGTATGTACACACTCATCATCTCTCTCTCTCTCTCTCTCTCTCTCTCTCTCTCTCTCTCTCTCTCTCTCTCTCTCTCCAGTCTTATATCGCTCACTATCTTGAGTCTCTTCCCTTGGATCGCTCACAGTTGCTGTACACACACACATCCTCTCTCTCTCTNCTCTCTCTCTCTCTCTCTCTCTCTCTCTCTCTCTCTCTCTCTCTCTCTCTCTCTCTCTCTCTCTCCCGTCTTATATTGCCCACTCTCTTCCCTTGGATCACTCAGACTCGCTCCGTGAATGCACTCACCTCATTCACTCTCTCTCCCAATCAGCTATGGCAGTCTTCCACCTCCTAGCTAACCCTAGCTATGGCGCTCCTGCGCCAGCTTCTTCCTCTATCCTCCCCAACTTAGTCCATCTGTAGGTCACACAAGCGCTCAGCAGAGCTTCCGCAACACACGGATTGAGAAGCGAGTTCTTGGGAGCACTATGGCTCTATAAAATGCAGCTGAGTTGAGGTCTTTGTCTGCTCCAGACTGGTAACTGTCTCCCGGGGCCTGTCGGCTGCATTTTTGCCAGTTCCGGAACCCACCAGACTTTCCCAGGATGCTGCTGCTAAATTTAGACTGGGACTTTTCTTGTCGGGTACCAGGCCTACCAGACGTCTAGCGACCCTAAACTTTCTGTCGGCCTGGTGAACTCTACTGACCTACGGGATCTATGTATGGCACTTCGGCCGCTGGCCTGCCGAATCAGTTACTTTCACGGACTGGGACCATTGGGACTTTGGGACCGGGATTCGGGACACTGACTGTGGTGTGAAATCCTTCCACGGGCATTGTTCTGCATGGAGGTGCTCGCAGGCATAGGACAATTTGAGTTTGGACACCCCTGCCAGTGCGTCCATGCAGGTTGTGGCAGGGTGTGTTCAATCTGATCTGAGACCGGATTCTGCCTCCCGACAGGGAAGACAGCAAGGGGCTCTGATCACAGGGGGGGAGGGGAACAGAGTTTGGCCACTTTCTGGGCTGCCTGATTCATCTGGGCAGACCTGACCCAGCCTGCCTGGCCAGGGCATGTCTGGCTGTACATGGTAGACTACCTTCTTCCCCCAAATAGGAAGTATGGTCATCATGCCTGCATTTGGGATGCTTTCTCTCTAGATATAATGATAATAACTGTAAGTGGGGGGGGGTGGACGAAGTTTGGCCACTTTCTGAGCTGCCCGGTTCATCTGAGCAGACCTGACTCAGCCTGCCTGGCCAGGGCACGTCTGGCTGTACATGGTAGACTACCGTCTTCCCCCAAATAGAAAGTATGGTCATCACGCCTGCATTTGGGCTGCTTTCAGTCTAGTTACAATGATAATGACCGTATGTTCTATTTGGTGGAAGGTGGTAACTTGGACATTGGTGATCGATTACATTAAGTACTCCTATTTAAGGTGGAATACCTATTTTCTTGTGTTTAACAAAGAATGGAATTCATTGGGAGTGCACGAGGCCACATCTTCACTTTTCAGGCCAATTTGGCAATACAATGATTTCTGAACCATCAAAGACAGCTGCGACCCCGACCAGTCGACTCAATCCATGAACATCAGACATCATGAGCATTTGAACCTTGGAAATCTCAAAAGGTTGCCGTGCTTTGCCGTGTTTTGCTAGGATTGGATGCGCGGAACGACACCGCAACTTCGCTTATGATTTCTGAGCCGTCAAAGACTGCTGCGACCTCGACAAGTCGACTCAATCCGTGAACTTCAGACGTCACGAGCATTTGAACCTTAGAAATCTCAAAAGGCTACTGTGATTTGCCTTCGCTAGAATTCGATGCATGGAACGACACACCTTCACTTATCGGATTGAATCCGGGCCTACTCACAGCAGGGCTTCCTGAACATATCCCCCATCATTTCATTATGACAGATCGAGTGGAAAATTTCCAATCATAGCGAGTATGCCCTCAGTGAGCGACGATAAAAACTATAAAAAAGACAGCGCCAAAGCAGATATGGAACACAAGGACTCGTTGATTACCTTTGGTGACCAGCTCTTCCACCTTGCTGCATGGCTCCCCACTCCAGCTGTCTCTGCTCTTCCTGCTTTCACAACAGCATCGAATGCCAACGGAGGAAAAAGAAGAGGCATGCAACTTTCTCATTGATACGTACTGTGCCAGAAATTGTGATCATCATTGCCACAGTGCACTACAATGCAAGCCAATCGATCATCATTATCAACTTATATATCAAGTGCACGCTACAATAATAGGCGATGGCTTTAGAAATATCATCTTCAACCTGACCAGTCCCAGATAAATTCAGAATCATTTACTTCCCTGAGTTCATTGGGATTCAAACCGAGGCCTGTATTTCAACAGTTCATACCAAGTTGCTACCACCAACTGATCAAGATTTCATCAACTTTAATAAGGCAGTAGAGATTTAGCAATCAGGTTGTTTAAATGGTGGGGAAAATACAAGACAGCAACTCATTCATTGAGCGTCTGTGGATCATGGAGCGCATTGGATAGTGACTGACCTGCTGGGCAGCCAGACTCTCCACTTGTGCTCGGTAAGCTTCATCTGCCAGAGTTGTGTCCCAGTCTGGAGATTGGTTCCGCATGTCCCAGCCACAGTCACACGAAGGCAACAAGCAGTCAGTTTCACGATACCACTCTCTATGAGCAAATCCTTGTTTACCTTCTTCCACACAAAAATAAACCTCTTCCGGAGTTGCGTCCCAGCCTGGAGATCGGTCCCGTACGTCACAGCAAGAGTCGTCACACGGAAGCAACAAGCAGCAAGTGTCACGATAGCACTCTCTGTAAGCAAACCCTTGACCTTCTTGAAACACACGAAGAATAAACCTCATCACAGATCTAAACACAGTAGTGAATCTCAAACGACATCGAAACAGGGAAGGAGAAACAGAAAGGTGGTTTCATGAATTGACATTCTCTATAGTGCAACAGAATGCGTGCAGCCAAGGCAAGGATGCAGCACGGTCTTTGATGATGATGAAGTTCCATCACAAACATCCCTGCAATGACGCTAACAGGGCGAATCGAGGGGGTGGGGGTGGGGGGGAAGCAGAAAAAGAAAAAGAACCAATCCAATACTCCAAGTCAACAAAACGTTGTCGAATCATGTGAAGAGCACCAAATACTCGAGGGAAAAATACTCTCCCATGAACAAAGTCATAGCTTCGTCCTCAGTTTGATATGAAGTACAAAAAAAAATTGAAGGTAACAAGCGGGTGCAGCCAGCGCAGCTCCGCCCACGAAAAAAGTCAGGAAGCATCCCAATGAAGAATCTCACTTCACTCTTTCTGTCTCTGACTCTATGTTTTCTTTGTTAGTGTATGGCTGGTGCTTTCTGTATCACTGTTTTAGCTCT